AAAACCAAATAGGAAACGTGCTACAAACAAAAATTGATTTCAAGCAACAACACAACAAAAAAAATACGAGACCATATCTAGTAAAAAAAACTAAAACTACAACAAAATCAAACGATATAAAGAAAACACAACAAAAAAAAAACGGTGTCATGAACAAATGCAACAAATACAAAAAAAAAAAACGCAAACTAAAACTTTTCTACACTTCATACAACAATAGTAACAACAATAACAATAAAATAGAAAACGTCATCATACAACAAACACTTCAATACACGACTAATCACGATTACACCATGTTTATAGTAGAGAAGAGAAGAAGAAGCAGCAGCAGCTGTAGCTTACGAAGAAGAATTCCCTCTTTTTATTCGAAAAAAGCTTACAACAACTATTATTATTATTACATATTCCGATATGTGAGTGTGTCTGTGTGTGACTGACTCTCTATACATTTATTTGTATTACAACATAATAAGATGACAAACCAAAATAATAATAAAAACAAAATGAAAAAAACCGAACTATTATACGATTGCTGCAATCTATTTTACGTTAAACAAAAGATCATCATTTACAAAAAAGTAGAGAGACAAAAATTATAGTTTCAACTAAACAGAGATGGAAATACAAAATATTTGGTTTATAGTCTTAACTAAAGTCTGGTATGATCTTCGCTTCCGAGTATGTATAATCTGATCTCTAGTCTATTGTTTCGACTATATGTAGCTTGGACTACAGTTTCGACTACAGTCTGGTCTTTTTTGTATTTCGTATTTGTCCACACTGGTCTGGAGCGCGGACTAGGGTCTGCACTATAATATATTTTACAGATTTTTCTTGTCTTGTTTATAGTATAACCTGTAGTTTAGTCTATAGCCTAATATGTAGTCTAGTCTATAGTCTAGTTTATAGTCTAGTCTATAGTCTAGTCTAGTCTATAGTCTAGTCTATAGTCAAGTCTATAGTCTAGTCCATAGTGTAGTCTAGTCTATGGTCTAGTCTATAGTGTAGTCTATAGTCTAGTCTATAGTCTATGGTCTAGTCTATAATCTAGTCTATAATCTAGTCTATAGTCTAGTCTATAGTCTAGTCTATAGTCTAGTCTATAGTCTAGTCTATAGTCTAGTCTATAGCCTAGTCTATAGCCTAGTCTATAGTCTAGTATATAGTCTAGTCTATAGTCTAGTCTATAGTCTAGTCTATAGTCTAGTCTAGTCTATAGTCTAGTCTAGTCTATAGTCTAGTCTATAGTCTAGTCTATAGTCTAGTCTATAGTCTAGTCTATAGTCTAGTCTATAGTCTAGTCTATAGTCTAGTCTATAGTCTAGTCTATAGTCTAGTCTATAGTCTTGTCTATAGTCTAGTCTACAGTCTAGTCTACAGTCTAGTCTACAGTCTAGTCTACAGTCTAGTCTATAGTCTAGTCTATAGTCTAGTCTATAGTCTAGTCTATAGTCTAGTCTATAGTCTAGTCTATAGTCTAGTCTATAGTCTAGTCTATAGTCTAGTCTATAGTCTAGTCTATAGTCTAGTCTATAGTCTAGTCTATAGTCTAGTCTATAGTCTAGTCTATAGTCTATAGTCTAGTCTTGTCTATAGTCTAGTCTATAGTCTAATCTTGTCTATAGTCTAGTCTATAGTCTAGTCTATAGTCTAGTCTATAGTCTAGTCTAATCTATAGTCTAGTCTAGTCTAGTCTATAGTCTAGTCTATAGTCTAGTCTATAGTCTAGTCTATAGTGTAGTCTATAGTTTAGTCTATAGTCTAGTCTATAGTCTAGTCTATAGTCTAGTCTATAGTCTAGTCTATAGTCTAGTCTATAGTCTAGTCTATAGTCTACTCTATAGTCTAGTCTATAGTCTAGTCTATAGTCTAGTCTATAGTCTAGTCTATAGTCTAGTCTATAGTCTAGTCTATAGTCTAGTCTATAGTCTAGTCTATAGTCTAGTATATAGTCTAGTCTATAGTCTAGTCTATAGTCTAGTCTATAGTCTTGTCTATAGTCTGATCTATAGTCTAGTCTGTAGTTTAATGTTTAATGTTTAGCGTTTAACTTATAAACATTTCCATCCCTGTTTTTATAATATAAACAAACCATTATGTTAGTAAACGAGAGAGTTATCGAAGAAGTGTGTGAGGGGGGCTTTCGGCAAGATTTTATAAAGTCTTTCATAATTTTATAAATGTTTATGTATAAATGTAATATTAAAAGTTTCACTTTCGTTTTCGTTTTTAAAAAGAGTAGTTAAAATAAACAGAGAGCAAGATAACCAGAGAGAGAGTGTGTTTTTTTAAGAGTAGTATTACTAGGCGTATGAATGATTTTGCTGGTAGTTAAATAAATATTGAGTATACTTTGGATGACTATGTGTGTGTGTGTGAAAAAATGAATTGAAAGTAAAATTTATAGAGAGTGTTGTGTTGTATTGTTCAAGCTTTAGTAAAATGTATGAGTTTTATACTCTTGATTATTATGTTTGTTGTTTTTGTAAGCAAATGAAAGTGAAACTTTTTGGTGTGTAAAAAAATAAAGAGCTTTATTTTAGTTTTCGTTTTCAGTTTCATTTTCGTTGGCGTTGTTGCTGTTGTATGGCCCAAACATTACATGTATAGTTTATTATTGAAAAAAAAAGAATCTCTAGGTATGTTTGTATAATACGTAATCTTTTGGGGCACAACGCTAACGTCGATGTTAACGTTTATGTAGACATTATGGTGAAACGCTAACGTAGCATTTAGCATAGAGTATTGCGGGTATCCTCGCCATTACTTGGGTTTAGTCAATCGAGATACGTGGTTGATGTTGGTCGTGTTTTTCGGCAAAAAACTAATAAACAAACAAACAAATAGACAAAGATTCTGTAATGAAACAAAAAGAAAACTCTTTATAAATAAATAAAATATTAATTAATTAACTATTTAAATAAACAAATAAACAAAAGTTTAAATATATATATAAAAAAAACTTTTAATGTTATTAAAAAAAATTAAGGGTAAATTAAGTAATTAAGCAAAATTAAAACTTAAACTATTTAATTTAATAAAATAATTAAAAACCAAACAATTAAACATAAAAAAGATCTAAAAAGTTGTTGAGTATTTATGCAATAACCAGCCCCAGGATTATGTTTATTGTATAAACTTAACACTTTTTATAAGATTTATAATAATTTATAATAAAATGAAAATAAAATAATTTTCTAACATAATCAATAAAGTGCAATATTTATTAAATTATAACTAAATGTGTTAAAAAAAAAAATGTTTTTTCTTTAAAAAAAAAATCTTCCATTATTTATAAAAAATCCCTAAAACAACCAAGTACCTGTTTAACCAGAAATACAAATTTATTATTATTAAAAAAAAGTATTTAAAGTAAGAAAAAAATAATCAAAATTTATTTAAAAAAAGGAAAATTTTTAAAAAAATTCCCTTAAAAAAAGTTGTGATTTCTAAAATATTTTGAATGGTTTGAAGAAAACAAAATTGTGTTCAAAAATGTTTAATATAAAATTGACCAAAATTTTAAAAAATAAACAACAATTAAAACATAATAAATATTTAAAAAATATTATTAAATTAATTTAAAAGAAAATTTCAAAAAAAAATTTTCGAAAAAAAATTGAAAATTTTTGAAAAATTAAGAAAAAATAATAACAATAACAATTTTTGAAAAATATTTAAATAAAAGTTTAAAAAAATTTTTTAAAAAATTTGAAAAAAAAAATTTGGAAAATTAAAAAAAAAAATTGAAAAAATTTAAAAAAAATCTGAAAAATTCTAAAAAAAATTTGGAAAAATTTTAAACAATTTAAACAAATTAAAACAAACAAAAATTTATAAAAAAAAACAATTTTTGAAGTTTAAAATTAAAAAAAAAAAAAAAACAATTTTGAAAAAAAAACTCAAAATAAATTCCAAAAATCCCCCTAAAACTTAAGAATAACAACAACAACAATTATTTAAAAAACAACAACAACAAATAAAACAAAATTAACAACATTTTAAGAATTAATAAAAATATTTTAAAAAAATATTTAAAAAAATTTTTCAAAAAAACTAAAATTGTCAAAATTTAAAAAAAAAAATTCAAATTTAAACCTAAAAAAACCCCTGAAAACTAAACAAAATTAACATATTAATTTAATTTTATTAAAATTTTTAATAAACACCTGCAAAACCAAGCAAAAACTTAAAGTTCGAAAAATTTCGGAATTTTCGAACACAGAAAAAATCGACAAATTTTAACAAAAAACAACAACAACAAAGCTTAAAAGCTTAAAAATATATATATAAACAAATAAATTGAAAAATTTTTAAAAATAAAGAAAATTTTTTCAAAAAAATTGTTTCGAAAATTTGAAATTTCAACAAAATTTAAAGAAAAATTTTGAAAAAATTTATAAAACAACATTAAATATATACAAATTACTGGATTAAAAACAAAAACTAACTTTCTGAGAATAAATTCGAAAGTTCGAAAAATTTCGAAAATTCGAAAAAGTTCGAAACAAATTCGAAAAAAGTGAAAAAAGTAACAACAGGAATAATAAAAATTAACACAAACAACAAAAACAACAATTTTGGAAAAATCTTAGATCTACGAAAAATTTGGAAAAATTTCGAAAAATTTTGAAAATTTTCGAAATTCTTTAAAATCGAAAAACACAACTTGAATAACAAAAAAATTCTACAAAAACAAAAAAAAGTTCAACAATTTAAAAAATACAAAAAATCCCTTAAAAAAACAACTTCCCTGTACAATTCCTCCCCTTCCCTTTAAAAACAAAATCACAACAAAACCGTCCCTTTAACTAAGAAAAACAAACACAAAAATCCTTTGTATAAAAACAACAACATAAAACCCACCTTAATATTAAAAACAAAAACAGCAACTAAGCAATATCAAAAGCAAAAACAACAAAAACCCAAATAAAAATCTTTAAACAAAAAGTATAGAGAGAGAGAGCAAAAAAGTTCTACTAACAAAAGAAAAAAAAAAGAGAAAATAATTGCAAACCAAAAAAACACACAGAGTGAGTGAGAGTGAGTGTGTGTATGTGTGTGTAAATTTATGTTTTTGTTTTGCAACAAAAAATGTTATTAAAAATGGAACAACAACAAGCGACGGCGTCGTTTATATCGTCGCTAAATATGTCACCATTTTCATTGCAATTGGAACAGGATCAGCCTTCCTCACCAGCTCTGGTAGCTGGTAATAATTCGAATTCCAATCAACAACATCTATTAAATAATAATCAAAATAATAATAACAACAACAACAACAATAATAACAATAATACGGATAATGATTTAACTAATGCCAATGATGATTATAGTTCTTATACTTTACATTTAACCAATACAAGTCATCAACAGCAGCAACAACAACAGCAGCAGCAACAACAACATCATCACCAGCAACAACAACAACATCACTACCATCAGCAACAACCTCAACACTACCAACAGCCACCTCAACAACAACAGCAGCAGCAACAGCAACAACAACAAAATATTGCCAATAATCCCAATTTTCAATATTCCTACATCTATAACATCGATTCTCAATATATTTTTCCCACAGGTTATCAGGATACCACCTCCTCCCATTCACAACAGAGCGCCAATGGCGGCAATGGTCCTTCCTCAAATCAAACCACCTCCAATCCCTCAGCCGGCGTCTCCCTTATAAATGGGGTTGTCACTCTCAATTCAGCCCAAAATTCTGCCCTTATCGGTAGTGCTGGTGGTGGCAGTAATAATGGCGGCTCTTCGGCTTCATCAGCCTCAGGCACTTATATGTCCCTATTGCCACCAAATGTTGGTGCCACCAGCTCTTCCACCGGCCACTTAGTGGGTGGGGTTAATGCTTTGGGCGGTGGCGGCGGTGGTGGTGGTACCAGTGCCTCTGCCACTGGCTCAACGCCTGATGTTATTGATTTCAAACATCTATTCGAGGAACTGTGTCCTGTGTGTGGTGATAAGGTCAGTGGCTATCATTATGGTCTGCTGACGTGTGAATCGTGTAAAGGTTTCTTTAAGCGTACAGTACAAAATAAGAAAGTGTACACGTGTGTAGCGGAACGTTCGTGTCATATTGATAAGACACAACGTAAGCGTTGTCCATATTGTCGTTTTCAAAAGTGTCTCGAAGTGGGCATGAAATTAGAAGGTGAGTACCTATTTACAAATTTATCTTATTTTTTAATATTAAGCCTTATTTTGGGACTAAATATGGAGCCAAATTATTTTGACTATAGTTTGTTTTGAGATCAGAGATAATGAATAAAGATCGCTCAATAAGTTTTCTTTAAAATGTTAATCCCTTGATTAGTTTTCTTAAGAGTTTTGTTCCCTTCATCAGTTTTCTTTAGAATATTAACCCCTAGATCAGTTTTCTATACCCTAAGGGATCGCTCGATCAGATTTATCTAAAATACTGCTCACATGATCTCTTGATCAGTTTTCTTTAGAATAGTCATCATTCGATCAGTTTTCTTAATTATCGCTCGATAATTTTTCTATAGAATAGTAACCCCTCGATTAGTTTCCTATACACTAAGGATCGCCCGATCAGATTTCTATAAAATGCTGCTCTCTCATTAAGTTTTTAGAGTATTGATTCCTCGATCTGTTTTCCATAGACTAGGGATCTCATAATCATTACTATTCGATCCGGTTTATAGTATAGACTAGAGATTGGACTATAGAATAGATTAGAGACTGATATATAGAAGCCTATAATATAGACCAGACTAGAGACTAGACTAGAGTCTATTCTATAGAATAAATTAGAGAATAAGATTTAATCTATAGAATAGACTAGAGTCTGGTCTATAGTATATACTATAGTCTGGTCTATATTATAGACTAAAGTCTGGCCTATAGTATAAACTAGAGTCTGGTCTTTTCTATAGATTAAACCTTATTCTCTAATCTATTCTATAGAATAGACTCTATAGTACAGACTAGAGTCTAGACTATAGAATAGACTAGAGACTGATATATAGAAGACCAGACTAGAGACTAGACTAGAGTCTATTCTATAGAATAGATTAGAGAATAAGGTTTAATATATAGAATAGATTGGAGTCTAGTCTATAGAATAGACTAGAGTCTGGTCTACAGTATAGACTATAGTCTGGTCTATAGTATAGACTAGAGTCTGGTCTATAGTATAGACTATAGTATAGACTATAGTATAGACTAGAGTTTGGTCTATAGTATAGACTATAGTCTGGTCTATAGTATAGACTAGAGTCTGGACTTTAGTATAGACTAGAGTCTGGTCTATAGTATAGACTAGAGTCTGGTCTATATTATAGACTAGAGTCTGGTCTATAGTATAGACTAAAGTCTGGTCTATAGTATAGACTAAAGTCTGGTCTATAGTATAGACTAGAGTCTGGTATAAAGTATAGACTAGAGTCTGGTCTATAGTATAGACTAGAGTCTGGTCTATAGTATAGACTAGAGTCTGGTCTATAGTATAGACTAGAGTCTGGTCTATAGTATAGACTAGAGTTTGGTCTATAGTATAGACTAGAGTTTGGTCTATAGTATAGACTAGAGTTTGGTCTATAGTATAGACTAGAGTTTGGTCTATAGTATAGACTAGAGTCTGGTCTATAGTATAGACTAGAGTCTGGTCTAGAATATAGACTAGAGTCTGGTCTATAGTATAGACTAGTGTCTGGTGTATAGTATAAACAAGAGTCTGGTCTATAGTATGGACTAGTGTCTGGTCTATAATATAGACTAGAGTCTGGTCTATAGTATAGACTAGAGTCTGGTCTATAGTATAGACTAGTGTCTGGTGTACAGTATAAACAAGAGTCTGGTCTATAGTATAGACTAGATTCTGGTCTATAGTATAGACTAGAGTCTGGTCTATAGTATAGACTAGAGTCTGGTCTATAGTATAGACTAGATTCTGGTCTATAGTATAGACTAGAATCTGGTCTATAGTATAGACTAGAGTCTGGTCTATAGTATAGATTAGAGTCTGGTCTATAGTATAGACTAAAGTCTGGTCTATAGTATAGATTAGAGTCTGGTATAAAGTATAGACTAGAGTCTGGTCTATAGTATAGACTAGAGTCTGGTCTATAGTATAGACTAGAGTCTGGTCTATAGTATAGACTAGAGTTTGGTCTATAGTATAGACTAGAGTCTGGTCTATAATATAGACTAGAGTCTGGTCTATAGTATAGACTAGTGTCTGGTGTATAGTATAAACAAGAGTCTGGTCTATAGTATGGACTAGTGTCTGGTCTATAATATAGACTAGAGTCTGGTCTATAGTATAGACTAGAGTCTGGTCTATAGTATAGACTAGTGTCTGGTGTACAGTATAAACAAGAGTCTGGTCTATAGTATGGACTAGTGTCTGGTCTAAAGTATGTACTAGAGTCTGGTCTATAGTATAGACTAGAGTCTGGTCTATAATATAGACTAGAGTCTGGTATATAGAAGAGACTAAAGTGTGGTCTATAGAATAGACTAGAGTCTAATCTATAGAATAGAGTCTGGTCTATACAATAGACTAGAGTCTGGTCTATAGAAGAGACTAAAGTGTGGTCTATAGAATATACTAGAGTCTAATCTATAGAATAGATTAGGGTCACGTCTGGTCTATACAATAGACTAGAGTCTGGTCTATAGTATAGACTAGAGTCTGGTCTATTGTATAGACTAGAGTTTGGCCTTTAGTATAGACTCTAATCGTATAGAATTTTCTAATATTTAATTGAAAATGTTTATGATATAATTGCAGGAACCAATTTATTTTTCTTTCTATTGATTTTTCTCTGTTTTAAGAAGAAATCCTGTAAAATATTTTATTCTCTCTTCATTTAATTATTTATTTGTTAGAATTTTACATTCTAAAATATGTTGTTAATAATAAATAACTTTTGTTTCTATAAATCAGACTTTTAAGAAGACAATTGTTTGTATAATTTTCCTTTAAAGCTAGAATATTAAAATACCTGCTCTCTCTTTCCCTCTATAATAATAACAAAAAAATCATATATTAAAAGACATACGTCAAGATGTCATTATTATAGAAAAAAAATCTAAAAAAGTATGAGTGAGTACTTTACAAGTAAAAGCAAAAACAACTTGAGCTACTGCTACTACTACTCATCACAGTTATTTATAGTGGTACCTTAATACAGCTACTTTTTAAAAACAACTGTGATAAACGGAAAATAGGAAAAGTGAACTATTTGTAAACATTCATCTTAAAATGATAACTCTAACTTGAAGGCATTCATTTAGAGCTGTTAATTTTATAAAATAAGTAGAGAATCACATGTTTCAAATTTGGTTGTTAATCTTTCTGAGTTTGTCGATCATCACTAATGTTGCTTTTCATTTAAACATTCACTTGGAATTGATAACTCTTAAACAATTCTTGTTTTTCTGTTACAAACTTTAGCATAAACTAAAATGTTTGTTTATAGTTGTACCTCCTTTCCAGTGAAGGGTTTTGAAAAACTATAAACACTATATGCAAGCCATAAGAAAAAAAATATATATAGAAAAAAACCAACAAACAATAACTTAACTACACACAAATTCGTGTGTACTTTTTAGCATGTTTCAATTCAGCAGATACTTGATAATGAGGCATGAATAATAGTACGAAAAAAAAACGAAAACAAAAAAAAAAACTTAAAACAAACAAAATCGATATTTTATTTATTTTCCCCCTATTTTTTGCAAAACAAAAATGGTAAAACATTCTACTATAAAGTAGTTAGAAAAAAATTAATGTAAAACATCTTTTTTTTTCAATTTTATAGATTTGCAATTTGACACTATAATTCTTTTAGGAAAAAAAAATAGAATGTCGAAGTGAAGACTTCTAAATAACAACACGAAATTGAAAAAAATATTAAGTTTAAGGAATTGTTTAAAGTAAAAGTTGTTTTAAAGCAGATTTTAGAGAAAAAATTTAATAAAAAACTAAATTTGTCTAAAAAAGGTCTTATATTTAATAAAATTTTAATAAAAACAAAATTTTTTTATAAATATTTAACATTTCATGCTGATTGTTTAAACAAATAAAGCTTTTTTGTTTTTTTTTAACATAAATTGTTAATAAAAGCTAGTTTAGGTTATTAATTCAAGGTGAATGTTTTAAAAAACAATAGATAAAACTGCATATCTTCGTTTATTACTATTTTTCTAACTTGTGCTGTATTTTATAGCAACAATTATTAATATTATTAACAATTTGACATCGAAAACAATAATATTCTCTAAATTCTTTAAATATTGTTAATTTTTAATAAAAATTAAACAAAATTGTATGAAATATACATTAAAATATCATTTAAAGTAAGAAGAAGCATTATAGGCAAAAGGTAAACAAACCAAAATCAGCTAATGCCAAAACAAAAACAATTCTCTTTCTGTTTACTTTCTAAACATTATTCTGTACCTTAAGATGAAAATTAATTAAAAATTTCATAAAATTTAAAAAATTCTTTTAATTTTGATAAATTTTTATAAAATTTTAAACAATATTTTATTAATTTTACTTAAAAAAAAAAAAAAAAAAACATTTAAAGTAAGAAGCAGCACTTTAAGCAAAATGTAAACAAACCAAAGAGATGCAAACAAAAGCTGCACTCTCCCTTTACTACTTGTCATACTTATTACAATAATAATATTTAAAAAAAATTAACTTTTTAAACTATAATCTATTGAAACTATAAATATTGTTAATTTTTAACACAAAATTTTATTAACTTTGCCAATTTGTAGTATGAAGAAGCACTTTAGGCAAAAGGTAAACAAAACAACTACAATCATTTCAATAACAAAGTAAAACCATTTATTCTCTGTCAATCTTTTACTTTTTTAAAGATTTTTTCTGTAATTTTTTAAACAACACTTGAGAATGTGAATATTAAACTTTAAAAATCAATAATGTTCTTTCAAATCTTTAATATTTGTTAATTTTTAACCAATTTTTCTTAAAATTGCTCAAAAAACAATTGAAAGTAAGAAGCAGCACTTTAGAACAAAAGGTAAACAAACCAAATACAACTACATACAACTATTTCAATAACAAAGCCAAACAACTTGCTCTCTGTTTCTCTTTGACTTCTTTCTTTAATTTTTTTAAATAACACTTTGCAACATGAAAATTTTACTTTA